AAAAATAATATTTAAGAAATATTTGCTTTTGATCTGAAATATTTAGCAAACATATAAATATTTCCTAAATATGTATGTAATATTTTGTGCTATCTGGGAGCATGGCAATCTCTCGTTTAACAATAACACGTTTATTATAAATAAAAAGGGATATTTTATCACTTTAAATATTTGTGCTTATATATTTTATATATTTATACGGTGATCTCTAAAAAGTCATCGTTTTTGGTTTTTCTTTGGGACCGACTTTCAAAATTTAAGGCTCATATTGAAATTGAAGCTTAACTTAGTAAAAAGTTTTAACTTGAAGATGAGCTCTAGATTTAAAAAATCAGGCCAAAATGAAAAATTATACCTCTGGCAGACCAAAAACCTGTATTGTAAGATCATTCTAAGAACTTCAAAAAATTTGAAGTTCGTACATAATTTTCGCAAAGTTACAGACTGAGAGTCAGTTCCGGAATTAAGGCTAATTTGGGCATTTAATGTGTATATTGTTCAGCCTCATGACTTAATTGGTTGTTTCTAGAATATGTAAAAAATGTGTTTTTTTTTAGATAACTGACTTGGGAGATCCAGCGAATGGGACTGAACTACCCGAGAACATAGCGTTAAAAAACCAAGCCAAAATTTATGTTACTGTTGAAAAGTATAATTATTATGCACCAGTTTTCTTGTTCCCAAATTCGTCCAAGTTAAACTTTTCGTTACAAGCTGTGAGTAGATAAAAATCATACAAAACCTTTGAAGTTATCGAACAAAGGCAAATAGATTCGCTTATTGCAAGTTGCATGTCTTTAACAAAAATAACATACAAAACTAAAATTCACTTAGTAGCTTTTGAAGCTGAACAACTTGATCGAATCAAGCAAATGATATTTTAGGATCAAGAACCCGAAAAGCCATTATCTATGTACCGTAATTCAGAGACTTTTGGAAATATTACGATCCGAGATGGAGCTGAAAATGAAGGATGTATTGATAAATGGATCCCTAGATTCGACGTTTCAGTAGTCAATGATTTTGGTATGTTAAACAATCATACAAATTCGATACATACACAAAATTTGCAAACTAATCTCAGTTTTCTTGTATTAACATGTGGAAACTTAAAAAATTATTAAATAAAGTCTATACAAAGTATATTGAGAACTTCTCAATCAATAGTCGGAGATATTATTTAGTTGTTGGGGAATAAAATTAATTTTAATTTATACGTTACTTTAATTCACGAATGAGAGACTTTAGTAAAAATATTGAGGGTATATTGGTAAAAAAGTCATTTTATAACATTTTTTTATAACATTTCAACAGAATTTTTTAAATATAAATTTGAGTGAATCGTGTGAGTATTAGGCAACGACTCTAATGTTTTCTAGTCTATAAGTTTTATTTTAAACCTGTAATTGCTTTTATGTATTTATATATCTTTTACTTGTGTAGACTATACGTATCTAACGTTAATAAATTCATTGATTGAAAATAAATATAAGAAATTAAAATGTTCCAGGTGTTTCAACTAAGAACTTTTTCACGATTGCTTCGCTTGGAGACTGTACCGGTCAGCTGCAGGTTACCGACTTGTATAATAAGGAAGATGTGGTGGACATAGTAACATTCCAGGTTAGTAAAATTGAGATTTTGTGAGACACCTAGCTCAGCAGACACAAACTCACGTCGTGCAGACGCCATAGAGACGTGAGAAATTGGAAAAATTAGAGGTGGTTTTTATGACGTTTATTTTGCGTTTAATCTACGTTGTTTGAATACTTGGGTCCTGGGAACTGGGAAAAATTTGAATCTGTCCAGAAATAATCCATAAAGCAATAATATTTAATTCAACTCAACAAACTAAATGTTAGTATTATCCTACTTAACTGTGTGCCAATTTCATTTCTTAAAAAGAACTCCTGTTAAATGACTTTCCTTTCTCTGTTCGCATTCTTGAATTAGGTCTGCAAGATTTTTCATAACTCTACTTAGACGTAACAATTCTAATAGAATATTAGTAGATTCTTCGAGGATTCTCTCATGTACTGGTCATGGACTTCTTGGTTTGTCGGTAAACGCTTTGTCTGAAGAAGCCCCATAAGAACTAATAGCAAGCAGAAAAATCGGGCGATCTCAGTAGTCATTCAATAGATTAGGCGATCTTAGATTAGATTAGAAATCTTTCTACGCGCTTATTCATTCTGTTGTGGTAAGAAAAGAAGCTGTATCTTGCTGGAAGCATGTGTCTTCATTTCCAGGCAACATGTTTAGTTGCAACAACAGGAAATCGTTGCCGACAATAATTCACTGTTTTTCTCAAAACAGTAGGTACCGATTATTCCGATTGAACAAAGTGTACATCTCACAGTTACCTTTGGGACGTAATCATTATTGACGAAGCTGTACTTTATTGGTGTGTTTAGTGTGAAGTTTTGTTAATTGGTGTGAAAAAGTGATAGATAATCTGTGGGTTTTAAAGCTTGAATAATGTAGCTTTTCTATGAAAGCAGACTTGAAAGCTTACTTATCCTTGTGCAAAATTCAAAGCAAAAATCTTTTACATAAACGCAACAACTGGTTTCGTCTCGGACTGAACGTTTTGTTCTATAGATGCTCTAACACGATCAATGTGTTCTGGGGTTCCAATAGTCCACTCAATGTATTTTTCTTGGCTGTGCCTGTTTCTATGACTTATGGCATGTGAAAAATTAGCTCCCCTTAGCGAAATATCCATGCCATGATCACCAAAGAGCACACAATGATAGAAAATTGGATACATCATTCCAGGGTCATCTACAGATACTTGCAAGATGATAGCATTTTCAAAAATTCTCGTTCACAGGGACTACTTTGTATTTCCTGTTTGTTCTTTACCTAGGTTCGCATAACGGCGATATTGGCAGATGTAACTTCATTGGACGAAAATGAAGCTCCTTATTCCCAGTCTATCGATATTAAGTTACAATTTGTGGACATAAATGACGATCCGATTTTCGACCCAACATCATGGAATACAACTATCAGGGAAGGAGACGCCAGTTTAATAATACCGATTAACGACCATAAGGCTTTCTATCCGAACCTGGATGATGGTGACGATGATCCTCCGAGTGAGTAATTTTTAAATCTTTCATGACTGCGCTTTTAGAATGGATTTCAAAACGAAATTTAACAGAAAACTTTTGAAAAAATATTGATTATAAAATTATGGCCACTGCTCTCTAGGCTTGGAAACTATATTTTTCATTTCCAAACATTTTAAAAATAGGATTTACCAAAAAATTTACACGCAGCCGATACATTTACCTACCTTGAAAAACAATAATAGTCTTGACTTGGAAATTAAACATCTGTACAGTAAACGAAGTTTGTTTGAACTAGAAGAAAACGAACTTTACAAAACGTTATAAAATTACGAGATATCGGGTTTCTGTTGCACTATATGAGACAACTTTCGGGTAAAAAAAGAATTAATGAATTGATATGAAATAATTCAACTTTTATGGAATAAGTTAAAGAACCAGTTAAGGAATTGCACCAAATATACAGAATGGACACAATTGATGGTTTATATGGGTTATATCGGAAACCATAGGAGTTACCAGTAAACCGTCATGGGTTTTATTGACTCAAATGTTGAGAAAAAAGAATTTTTAAATTTACTTTTGTTAATTTGTTGATGAGATACAGAGCGAAACTGAAAAGTTGCAGATAATTTTTTATTTTAATTTTTTAACTCCATCATTACAGGAAATATTTCAATATTGAAATATTTATCAATTCATTTTAACACAGTTTTATTTAAGTCATAAGTAGAAAAATATACTGGGCGCTTCAAAAGAGTTACAAGATAAACTAGTGGTGTTTAATGAAACAACCCTTAGAATTGAAGTAGGCTGTGTACTTTGAAGCAGTAACTTCTCACATTGGTTTGTGCGGTTTACAATAGTTTTTGAAAATAGTCGAATGCTAAGTAACAAGTTCAGTCAGTAACAAAATCAGCAGATTTTACATCATTGAGGATGTAAATAACGGACTTGTTTGTTCAATTCCACAAACGCTAAAATAACATATTTGCCAAGTTTTTGCGAGCTGGCCTAAGTGCGACGTTATATTTAATTTTCTTTAAAACTCCACAAAAGAAATCTAAGGGACTTAAATCCGGCGAACAAGATGGCCATCGAATTGGTACATTAGCACTTTCCTGGCTTGATTGTTTGCATTGTTGAATGTTTCCTCTAACTTAACAGACATTTTATTTGTGTCGCGTTTTAACAAAAACCAATCTAGAAGAAGTAATTTTTCTCGCATAGTCTACAGAATATAAGAACTGATTTATAGAAATTAGGTATGGGGATACTTATGTTTTCTTAAAATTTCAAGAGCCGTTTATTCTTAATTTTAATAAAAGCTTCTTCAAGTTTTCGAAAGGAAGTGTTTATACATATTCAATAACGTTTTCCTCTTAACTATTATTTTATTTTGTTTTACTTATTTTTTTAATTTCGGTTTTACAAATGTTTTAAATTCTTTTAAATTCCTCTCTGACTTCTGACCAAAAGTTTTGGTGTCGTTGATTGTTTCACCGGCGCTCCACATTCGATGCAAAATTACACCATAAGTATACTCGGCAAAAGTTAAACTTTTTTTTTGTTTAAAATTCTATTAAAAGAATATAAGTTTATCCTGTAACATTCGTGAGAGGCCCGTATGTTTTTCTACTTCTGTGACTTTAAAAACTAAATTAAAAATGTGTTAATATTTTTTAAACATTTCAAGCAATGAGGGGCTAAAAACTAAAACTGAAATCAGCAATTTTGTATTTGTATTTCATCGACTCTGTATTTCATCGACAAATTAGTAAAGAAAAAATTTAAAAGGGTCATTTTCTGTTATAACTGTTTCTTCGTATCTGCGGCAGTTTCCGAAATACCCCATAAAAAACAATTTTGTCCATCCTCTACGCTTAGAATCAAAAGGCGATTATCGTTCGTTAACGATAAATTTATCAATTATAACGCGAATAGTTTTCTATTCAATTCCTAAGAAATTTGAATAAATTTAACTTTTAAAATTTTAGGAAAAAATTTCTGCAACTCGTTCACTGAAACTTAATTTTTCAGGCATTTACTATTTTCTGAAATCTGACGATGCTGATATCCTATCAACATTCTCCATTGAATTAAACACCGGCAATATAAAGCTGCAGACTGCATTGGACTATTTGAATAGCAGATCTTACCAATTCAAAATGTTGTGTAGTCGAAATAACAGCGCGGTTTCCAGCAAGAGTGCATCCATTTTAGACGTCAACGTCGAAGTAAGTATAGATAATTTTCAGTTTGTTATAATTATTAAGTTAATGTGAGTTTATTTTCGTTTCAGGTGATTGAAATTAACAATCATATACCGCAATGGACACAAAAATCATTCTATGGAGCAATTTTAAAGAGCACCCAGAAAAACTCTATAGTCCTGACAATTAATGTATGTATAAAGCGTTTATCTTTCTGCGAAATAAATCACTAGCAAACAGATTCAAAAATCAAAATAATCTAGCGAATCTAAAGATTTTTTGCTTTTGTAAATCCGTTGATACTCGTCTTTTGGTACTTTCATTCGACAACATTCAGTTTGCTTATTTTAAGGCAAAAATAATTTCACAGAGTGGTCGAAATCTAGATTGCATCATTTTAACGGCTGGATTTTTTTAGTTTCATTATTATTTCTCTCCTTGTTTCTTGAAAAATGTTATGTTTCCTTTCTTACGTGAGTTGGAATCATTATGCAATCACATCAGCATCAGCTACATCAAAAGAAGGTACTTGAAGGCAGAGCTGGGCAAATTACTTTTAAAAAGTATTGAAATACAATTACCAAATACTGTCAACATTAAAAAAAGTAATTAACTACTATTTATTAATTAGAATATGTCGGTAATTGGTTAACAAATACTTTTAGTAAAGTATTTAAATACAAAAAAGTATTTAAGAACACAAACTTAGTTTGGGTTAGCTAGTTACTTAGTAATTAATATTTAACTTCGCACATGTCATATTATAGTACACCAATATCACTGATAAATCATATATGCACTATATTTACCAAACTACAAAAAAATACATTTTTTTAACATTTAATAACATTCAGAAACAATACATAATAATATTTACAAAAAACAGAATACCGGCAATATAAATATCATAGGAACTTATGAAATAGGGTAAGAAACAGACAAAAACTAAAAAAAAAAGGTTAAAATGTATTATTTAATAGCAATTACCATTAGCTTTTAATAGCACTATGTTTTCAAAGTTTTTTCTGATAATAGTGCATGGCGGCGAGGAGCATTTATAAAAGTGGCGTAAGAAAATATTCTCTCAACTTGTGCTGAGGAAGGTAAAGTGGTATTATACTTTCACTAGAGGATATTTGTCCAACATTTCCAGCGCAAAACTGGTACCTTGCAGATATTGCAAAGTTTGAAATTCACTAAGCCCATTTGAATTATAATCATTCGCTGATTAAATTCATGTCATCAAACTCAAAGAAATCCATGTTGAATGAAGAACTCTTATCCAGTTCTGGAAGAGACGTTCTTTGACTTTCAGCTATCTCATTAATTGCCTTTACAATTTTTTCTTAAACATCTTTTGGCATTTGTATTTTTTTCTTCCATATTCCATATTAAATTTACTCATTTTAGTTTAAATCTGGAATGGGTTAATAATTGCATCATGGACGTCCAATAATTGCATCTGACGTGTCAGGGAGTAAAACCAAAAATTTCTCGAATCTTCTGGACACAGACTCTATGAGGCCATTCACAACGGAATTCAAGAATCAAAATGTTTCGGTTTTTAATTTGATCAATTTAGATTTCATGCTGGCAATCGTAGGAATAACTAATCCAAATTTGTTGTTTTTTTCACCTTGTAATCTATCAATTGCTAATGCAATTGGCTCTAAAATTTTTAGATATTCCGATAAATAATCAGTCAGTCTCTTTTGAGACGTTAGTCCTTATTTTTAATTTGTTATAGAGAATTGTAATTTTGTCTTTCAAAATTTGAGAACTGCTGGTAACACTCCAAAATCTTTAAAAGCCTTCACAGAGTTAGATCCGTTATTGCGTAGATGCGGGGGGCATTTGTGAAAGTATTTACACAACATTTTCTATACTAAAATACTAATTATTTATAGCAAGTAATTGACGGTTCAATTATAAATACCATTCTTGAAAAAGCAGTTGAATGCATGGGATTTAACTACCAAAAAGTATTTAAATACCAAAAAGTAATTTAATTCTTAACTACTCAGCTCTGCTTGAAGGCAAAGAGTTTCCAAATCAAAAAGAGCACTAAAATTTTTGAAACAAAATCGCTCGCGCTTCAGGAAATGGTTGCAAAATTTACCATAAAATTGTGCATTGTAGATCGTTGCAAACATTTGACATAACTAAAGATGCAAACCCTCATAAGTAGGCTAAAATTTCATATTTGTGATAAATATTTCATTCGCGCCACAAGCTATAGGAAACAGCTGAAAAAGTTTTGTTCCTCTATAGTACCTACATCGTACTCCAAAGTTTCATCTATTTAATATCAAACAAAAACTGACTTCTCTGGACCGAAACTAATATAATTTGTATACAATGCTTTTTTAAGTAACTTTTTTCTGTTCGGAACAAGTATGAGAACATTTCATTACTGAATGTATGTAAATTGGGGTAGGCCACCGATTTGGACACAATGGATCAAGGAAACCTAACGTATTCAATAAGTAGCGATTTTGAAGCATTTGGATCTGAGAGCCTGGTTCAAGTGATAAAAAATAACCCCTTTCAATTGGAGGCAACGTCAGGACGTGTAACACTCAATTTTGCAGTTGAGGCTAATATGAAGGGCTACTTCTTGTTCACAGTCAAAGTGGAAGATACTCAAGATCAGTTTGGAAATGGTAAGTCACTGCTACAATCGTTCCATGATCATATTTTTTTCGCACTACTAAGATAAATTAAAAATAAAATGTGAACTTGAAAAGTTTTTGTCAACTTAATATTTACTCATAGCAGTTTTATTCGATATTTCGATCCAATGTAAGTAAGTAACTGTTAAATGTTCTTTGCTAAATTCTTCAAAATTTAGCAAAGAACATTTTGGAAGGAAAAAAATGGAAAACATTTTGAATACATAATTCAGTAATTTCTGGTATTCAATTTTGATTCATTTTTATTTAAACTTATTGTGATTCAGATGAATTGTTTTAGTTTCAGTAGAAAGTCGATTTTCAATTGCTTCTATCTCAGCTCTGTATCTAAAAAAAACAGATCTGTATCTTTTAAAATAACAAAGTTAAAAGCAGTCCTTTTATAATGAAGAAACCAAATCTTCAGGCTTTCTCCAGTACATCTAAAATATTTTAAGGGCGGGGCTTGCTACTATTAACCGAAACGTTGTTCAATTCAAGTTAATCAACAACCTTGCTTAAAATTTTTAAACAAACTCTGGTTCTATAATATTTACTTACAAGCCCCCCCGAGTTCAAACTTCTCAGCAAGACTACGACAGCCTTCTCGACAACAGCCTGCCAACTCTTCTCACAGGCGATTTAAACTCAAAACATGTCTCTTGGGGTTGCTGCAAAAACAACGCCGAGAGACATAAACTGCTCAAATACTCACAAGACTTAAACTTCGAAATTTTTGCGCCCTCTGAACCGACGCACTTCGACCACAGGACCCCTGACATACTGGACATCGCACTTGCCAAAGACATTTCCCACACGATTACCTTAACCAACTCCGACTCGCTCAGCTCAGACCACAATCCCATCATCATCAACATTAACGAACAATACGCCTGCAACCCCTAACAAAAACCATCACCGCCGCCGTCTCCAAAGCCACAACCCTAAAGACTAACAAAAACCCCCTTCAGCCTCCCACCCGAAATCAAATCCCGTAACAAGCTCAAACGTAGAGTCAAACAATTTGCAGACTCCGTACTAAACAAATAAGCTAACAAAATTTCCAAACTAATCAAAATCCAAATTAACTCCCTGAAAAACGAAAAGTGGTCCGAATTCTTGGAAAACATCCCAACTGGCGACGCTGAC